CCTAACGATTCCCAGATGTTCTACAGGTTTTTTAACAGCTCCGGTGCTTGTGTGTGTGCTCTTATAACTGGGTTCTAGGAAAGACAGTAACATTACACCGTGTTCCAAATTATTATGCAAATTATATTTTTCTCATTTACCTAAATAATTGATGTAAATAACAGTCAGCATAATTCTCATGTTATCAACTATTAAGAGTACAATTAAAATTTTATTGAACAAACCTCCTAATAACAGTATTTTTGTTAAACATAAAACAAAATGCACTGTTCCAAATTATTATGCACAGTAAGTTTCAAAACACTTTATAGGTTGTAAAGAACTGAAAATTGTTATTTGTTGTGTTTGAAATAGCTTTTGATTTCAGTAAATATGCTGCAATCAAACTTTTAACAACATTTTAATTTTTTAAACATTTTAACAGGTCACGTTACATTTTATCATAGGACCCCTTATTTGATAACAGCTTCACAAGTCTTGCATCCATTGAACTTGTGAGTTTTTGGACAGTTTCTGCTTGAATTTGTTTGCAAGATGTAGAATAGCCTCCCAGAGCTGCTGTTTGGATGTAAACTTCCTCCCACCCTCATAGATCTTTTGCTTGAGGATGCTCCAAAGGTTCTCAATAGGATTGAGGTCAGGGGAGGATGGAGGCCACACCATGACTTTCTCTCCTTTATCCCCATAACAGCCATTGATGCAGAAGTATTCTTTGCAGCATGAGATGGTGCATTGTCATGCATGAAGATGATTTTATTACGGAAAGCATAGTTCTTCCTTCTGTACCAGGGAAAAGAGTGGTCAGTCATAAACTTCACATACTTTGCAGAGGTCATCTTTACACCTTCGGGGGCTCTAAAGGGGCTGACCCGCTCTGTTCCCATGATTCCGGCCCAAAACATGACTCCTCCACCGCCGTGCTGACGTCGCAGCCTTGTTGGAACAGGGTGGCCGTCCACCAACCATCCACTACTCTACCCATCTGGACCATCCAGGGTTGCACTGCACTCATCAGTGAACAGGACTGTTTGAAAATTAGTCTTCATGTATTTTTCTGCCCGATGCAGCCGTTTCTGCTTGTGAGCATTGGTTAGTGGTGGCCGAATCGAAGGTTTATGCACAGTTGCAAGACTCTGGAGAACTCTACACCTTGATGTCCGTGGGACTCCAGAGGCACCAGCAGCTTCAAATATCTGTTTGCTGCTATGTAATGGTATTTTAGCAGCTGCTCTCTTGATCTGATGCATGGATCTGGCAGAAATCTTCCTCAATGTGCCGTTATCTGCATGAACCCGTCTGTGCTCTGAATCAGCCACAAATCTCTTAATAGTGCGATGATCACGCTTAACTTTTTGTGAAATATCTAATGTTTTCATACCTCGTCCAAGACATTGAACTATTTCACTCTTTTCGGCAGCAGAGAGATCCTTTTTCTTCCCCATGTTGCTTGAAAATGGTGCTCTGCTTAATAATGTGGAACACCGTCCTTTAGTAGTTTTTCCTTAAATTGGGCTCACCGGCCAATCTAATTATCACAGGTGTCCGAGATTGTTTTCAGTGATCAAAAGAGGCCTGACACACAATGCCATCCATGAGTTAAACTGAAAAACAAAATATTTCATCTTTCATGTGACACTTAAATAGAATTTGCATAATAATTTGGAACGTGGTATATTTGTAACAACTGCTGTCACAAACTGTTTTTTCTCTTGTCAAGTAGAGCTGATCATATGTGGTATATATCAATAATATCAGGAGAAAGGTGCTTTCTTTAATTGGAAAGTGTGACATACAGATATTTGACCAAGGCAATGATCAATTAAATCAATGGCTAAAATCAACGAGGCCATAGCAGATATGCAACATTTTTGGGAGAATTTGGGAGAATAATGTGTTCTTTGATGGGATTGTAGGTGGGAAATTCTCTTCTCTAGCATTTTATCTTTCTGAAGATGTATTGGTAGTACAGTTTATATTGTAACTTGAAAGTTGTTTTAACTAATGATAAATGTAGGCAACAGGGGCGGACTGACAACTCATGGGGACCCCGGGCAATAGGGGATTATGGGGCCCCTGTGTCCTTGCCCAAACTCAAAAAAGCCTATGAAAAAGGTACCAGGGGCATGTCATGGGGCCCCCTACTGACCCCGGGCCCTCGGGCAATGCCCGAGTTTCCAAATGGTCAGTCCGCCCCTGGTAGGCAATTATTTATGATATAACCTATATATTCCTCACAATATGTTCATTTTTCAGGTAGCTATTTCTTACCTTCATCTAGATGTATGATCTAGAATTTGTTGGTTCAGCAAGTGTTCAGTAAGCTTGTACAGAGATGTTGTAATGTGTTTTGTGGTTCCTATGGCATTCAGTCATCATGTAACAGATTGCTGTACAATAACACCTGTGAATACATTAGGCCAAGTAGATGTGAGATATTGCTTGGTTCCAGGCTGACATTTGTTTGTGGAGGCATTGAATAACATACTGCACTGCAGAGGATTCATACATTACAGATGGTGTTCCACAGGTTTTAATTGGACCTATTAAATATAATATAGCATGTGTTGAGTAGCTGCATGCAAATCTCTGATCTTTTTACTTTACAGATATGCAGGATGTGTTTATATCACTGTGGATTGATTGATGAACATGCTGTGTTGTAAAAGTATTACATTTTTGCAAAGGCATCAAACCGTATCATGAGAATAAATGCACACAAAAAGGCACCCATTTAGATCATTTAGAAGATTTTTCTGCACACTTTGCCTTGGTTACCATTATAACACATTTTGGCTGTCAGAAAAATGTATTTTTTATGCATTCTTGGCATATTAAACTGCTTTCCTATGCTGCATTCTCTGTCATAGCCATAGTGGTAAATGAGGTCTTTCTGCACTTGGAAAAAAAACAATAGTATATCATTTTATATATAAGTATTGGCCATCAGTGTGTCACTTTGATAATGTGCTTTTCTTCAATTCCATGTTTGAAACCTGCATAAACCAAGATAGACCTTTCATCCAATAGGAAATCTGTTCAATAGGACTGTCTTCTGCTATCTATACCTTTCTTATTTGGAGTAAAGTTAATACCACATCCTTCCTAGCTTTGGAAATAAGAAAAACATCTCTCTAATATTAGATGAAGAAGACTTATCAGAAGTAAATTATTTGCACCTACGGGGTTTCCTCAGCCATCAATAACAAATTAACACAGCTTTGTATAGTCCTTCAATGGTACTGAAAAAAAAATAAAAAAAATGGGGATTCTCTATTTCAGCTTTTCTCAACCAGGATGCCCAGGCACCTTTGGGTGCCTTGAGGTTTCTTCAGGGGTGCCTTGGCAAAATGTCTACAAATTGCCCAAAACATATATACAAACCAGCCGGTGCAACAAGACGGGCTTTTAGTTACACAAAGCCACAGGTTTTCATTGTGCACCATTAGGACCTTCTAGTTGCCGACTGTCACGTACCTCGTGGGAGACTAAATTGATGAGGTCGGCCTCACTTGTGTCACTAGCCCTGACCCCGCTGAGGTTGGAACAGAGGGAGTCTAGGGACCAGGAGGACAAGAGCGCCAGTGGTTGTTGTTTGCGGCTCTTGCAGATGATGACCTTGGTAGGCAGAGTATCCTTTGATTTGGGCACCATAGAAATAAACCAGGCAGGTTCTGTGGATTGCCAGATGTGCAGTAGAGCAAGGTAGGTAGCAAGGACACAGGACTAAAGCAGAGTCATAGGATAGCCGGGGTCATAAACAGTCGTGCAGCGCGGTACAGAATCAGAAGGAAAAGCCAAGGTCAGGAGCAGAGCCGAAGTCAGGAACCAGGAGCAGGTGAGTAATCGGAGTCGGGTCAGGAACAAGCTGGGTCAGCAACAAAGGAATCGTACAGGAACAAGCAGAACACGGGGGGAGCTGAAGACCAGTCAGCACTGAATCCGAGCAGAGGCACTCCTTAAATGGCCCATCTGGCGCCAATCTTCGCCGTGCGTGTGCACGTGTGTGTGCATGTGCGCGATCGCACATTCCTGCGTACCTGCGCACAACCCGGCAATTGTTCTGCGGGATCTCCTTTGCGCATGAGCGGTCCCGATCGCAATTCTTCTTGCCGGAAATCCCTTACATCGGCGTCCTGACAACCAATGACATCATCAGTTCATAAGGAGGAGGTCGGTTTACTGCACAGCATTCTAGTTTGACCCTCACCTGCCCCTCTCCACGAGTGTTGGGGTCACTTTAACTCACTGATGGAGAAAAACTGAGGTAGAAGAGAAGCATTGGAATACTACTCAGTACCAGTGTGCAAAAGCGTATTTGCTTTGGAAGAATAAATCACCTCTAACGTTGGGTGTCCTACATGTGTGGATGTTCTAGTTATATAAAAACTATTAGAATAGTTTTTCACATTTTAGAATGGGGTGCCTCAAGACTGTTCATAATTTTAAAGGGTGCCTTGGGACTGTCCATAATTTTAACCTCCCTAACGGTCTGATTATGTCCATATTTCTGTGCTCAAAGTGGTATATTTTTTTTGCATGGAAATGTGTATTTTTTTTATTGTAGGCCTGTAATTTTTAGGAATAACTCACTGAAATCTGTCCGAACAAGAGTTTAGTAAACATCCCGGGTAGGATAAAACTTGAAACACAAAATCATAAATTATAATTTAATAAATAATCATAAAAAATAATAATATAATAATAAATTTAATTCAATAATATAATCAAACAAAAAACACTGAAATTTGAAATATAGCACCAAGTTCGCACATCACTAAGTCGCAAAATCGTTTTCAGTGTCTGATGACGAATTTCCCCACTAATCATTATCACTCAATTCTGCAAGTAGATCTGATTTACTATCGCTGTTCTCTAGCTGGTCTGAAACCGCTTTTGACCTAAAGGGAAGCTTTTAGGACGCCATGGGCATTTCTCAGTTTCCAGGCAGAAACAAACAGTAAAAATGTAGGCAGGGCACAGGACAAAGCACTTGGGACAAAATGTATGTGAAATGGTTTGATACAGTAATGTTTTACTATGTGATTTTAGTGAATGTCACTTTTTGTCATTTTCAAATTTCCCGCCAGTTCCGTCCCCCGTACGTCCTGACGCTCGCAGGGGACAGAACCCAGATGACAGACGCCGGCATCCGCTGGATTACATTGCCGTGGACACTGCAGGAGGGACATCGCCGGAGCGCAGGACAAGGTAAGTGATAGAGGGATCCCAGAGCAGAGCCGCATGGTAACCCCGAGTGTAACTCAGGGTTACCGCTTATGGTACTGAAACTTTACCCCGAGCTACACTCAGGAATACCGCCAGGGAGCTTAAAGAGTGCCGTGACTGAAAAAAGGTTGAGAAACACTGCTCTATTCTGTTAATTTCATAACAGTGCAAACTCTTAACACATGATTTGGGCAAGCTTTATAATACAGAAATTGTTGAAGGACATACTGTATATGGATTGATTTATAAAACTGTAGAGTGCATAATCTGGTGCAGCTGTACGTGATAGCCAATCAGTTTCTAACTTCAGTTTGTTAATTTAAGCTTTGACAAAAAAAAATGGAAGCTGATTGGTTTCTGTGTTCTGGTTTCAGAGCTGCACCAGATTTTGCACTCTTCAGTTTTAGTATATCAACCCCTAAGTGTTCTTTTAGGCTTGTTGAGCTTACTGGTACCTCTAAACCTGAGGTTTATTATTCACCAAAGGCACCTATTCAAAATACATATTGGCACTTTTTAAGACACTTGCCCTCATATACTGTAGATGAACTCAACATCCCTCCTTTACTGAAAACGTATGGCCAACCATATGTTCTTTATGAGAAAATAATAAAAAAAAAAAAAAACAACAGATGTTGTCCATTTAAACTACATCTAATTTGGGTATTGAAAAAATATCCAGCCTCCAATATTTCTAATGCTCACAGGTATTAAACATATATTCACATATGTTCTAGGTGTAGGTATTTTATTGATTCCCATTCATATGATATTTTAATTACTGTATATAACAAATGTGGTAGTCTTAACTGTTTGAGCTCATTGCTGAATTAAATATATATATAAAAACTGTATTTTTTTAAGCCTCATTAAAGAACACCAGTTTGAAAAAAACACCAGTGTACTCTGACCTTGAAGTATATGTAAAAGATTATTAAATACTAACATATTTCACCAAACCTGAGACATAGCTCCAAAACTGACAAAATTAAAGGGTAAGTAATGTAGGTATAGCAGCAGAGCGTGCAAAACCTAGCTTTCAGCCAGGGCTCCCTTTCAGTTAAAAGTAGGCCAAAACTGCATTAAAAAGAAGCTTTCTTAAACTCTTTGACAGCCTATGATATCTCTGTCCTGAGTTATAGTAGGGAGGTACCAATCATTGGACCTGCGTCCCCTAGTTCCACGGGAGTAAATGCTGACTTGTTCCTTTGGGCCACACGTGCAGTGTGTGCTCTTTCCTGTTGAAGCCATTGAGCTCATCGTAGGCAACAGGAAAGAATACACACTGGATGTATGTGGCCCAAAGGAACAGGAAAGTGCTGTATACTGTGGCACTTGAGGGGTGGGGTGTAGTGGTTTTAGCGTTGGTCCCAATGGCTGCTCTGTTCCTATAATATCTTGGGATGGAGCCATCATCGGCTGTAGAAGATTTTATAAGTTTTTTTTAATGCTTTCCAAGAAGGAATTCTCTGCAACCATGTAGGAGTTTTTGTGTCGAGTTGCTGAAATGATTGCTGAAGTGTGCTTTCATGCTGCACGATGCGCTCCCAACAAAAGGACTCACAGGTTGAATACTAATGTTTGGGAAACGGGATGTCCAGTTACTGATCACATGTTCACTGTGATAGTCTCTGATTGGCTATCACAGTGATCAATCACTGTGCAGCCCGCCCCATGTTTTTTTCTCCTCTTGAATGGAGAAAGATACAATGTATCATTTTCTCCTTTCTCTTTGATAATAGAAAAAAAAAAATCAAGAGATATCCTTTACCATTTACCACCAAATGAAAGTCTAAATTGTCCTGAAAATAATAATGTATAATTCAGCTGAATACATTAAGCAGGTGCAATGATATATAGTTTTACCAACACATGCCAAATCTGCAAAACTGTGTTCAACCATTCTGATTTGTTTTACCCTCGTCATGAAGGGGTTAAGGAGCTCTTGGAACGTTTGTCCTCAGTTCTCCTTTATTGTGTGGACAGTTATCTATCTCATCCTCATGAAAGTGTCTTCTGTCTACTAACATATGGAGAAATCTCTGGCTGAAGGGTTGGTCTTCACAACTGCAATGCAAAAACATTTGCTGCGCACGCCTTTTGACAGTGAACATCTTTTGGGTTGTTACTGGTAATAAAAGTACTAATTTGCCACAGCATAAGAAGCCAGCAGACAAGTCCTCTTCAGCATGAAGGGGCGCCCTCACTTTTGAAAGCGGGGGAATATCTATTGGCCTTTGTGGACATTTGGAGTTTTTGAAGCGCTTTTGCGATAAAAAAAAAGCGCCTGAAAAACTCAAGAAAAATGCTTCCCTTTGTATATAAATGTATATCTATGTATGTTTTCACACTGAGGTGTTGCGCTTTCGGTGCGGTGTAAAAACAGCATCTTTGGGGCATGTTTGGTGAGTTAAACAAAACACCCCCAAAATGCCTCTTCCCTTTGAAATCAATGGAAAATGCCGGAAAAATGTCTCAAAAGCACCTCAGAGACTCCTTTGAGAAGTGTTTATGGTGCAGTTTTTAAGTCACCTGTCCTTTAAAAAATGCTCAGAAAGCATGGTAAAAGCGCGATAAAAATGCCTATGCATTTTTGCGGCAGATCAGTGTGGAAGTAGCCTTAGGGGTTGATTTACTAACACTGGAGAGTACAAAATCTGGTGTAGCTCTGAAACCAGAACACAGAAACCAATCAGCTTCCAGTTTTTTTTTTTGTCAAAGCTTAATTGAACAAGCTGAAGTTAGGAGCTAACTTGCTACCATGCACAGTTGTGTGGACATGGGCAGGGGCGGACTGACAACTCATTGGGCCCCTGTGTCCTTGCCCACACTCAAAAAAGCCTATGAAAAAGGTACCAGGGGTATCTCATGGGGCCCCCTACTGACCCCGGGCCCTCGGGCAGTGCCCAAGTTTCCAAATGGTCAGTCCGCCCCTGGACATGGGAAATAGGCCCTTCATGCCTAAACGTGTGTTAAAACATGCAGTGTTTGACTTGCTTCTAATTATGATGCCAGTGTAAAATATGGCTGTATTCATGCCCCCTAATTTTTAATGTGTTGCAGGTGCTGGATGTGTTCTACATGTTCTTAATGTTCTTAAAGTTTTAAGCTCACGATTATACCATGAATATTTGGTAGTATAGGATTGTGTGAATAAAGTGGAACCAAACCCTCGTATCCTTTACAGCCAAGGAAACTGCCACCTTAGCTTCTATTTGACCTGCAGTTACCATGCTGCTGCACATGTGATCAGTAATGACTCCAGCTATTTGATGGTTTGACAGTTCAGTTGAGAGCACAAATAAATGTGACAATTATCAATTACGAAATGCCTCTAATTTAAGTGTTTTAGGAAACAGCTAAATCAATGGATTTAGTTCCGCTTTATCAGACAGTTACTGGGAATACGATTAGTATGGAACCATTCCAGTTTATGATCAAGTGGGTTTACTGAAATGTAATTTCTGATGTGTGGCTGGCCTAAGTGACAAAATAGTGATTATCAGGTCTATAGTTATTAGATAATACATAATGCTAACTGATTTATTTGTATCATGTATATGATATTATATGATTAATTAAGGAGTGTAAATGTAATTTCATTTGACTTAATTTAATTGTTACCAGTGTGTGGTACAAGCCTGTGACAAAGGTTGGGAGTTCTCTGTGTGTATCTATATGCATACACTAAGATTTAAATGTGTACTAGGTGATTAACCTTGCAGTGTGCTTGTATCCAGTGGTTAATCTTTATATTTATAAATAGGTGATATTTCCCTGAACGTTTGTTTCTCTACACACTGTTTGAATTAATATATATTAGAAGAAGCTCTCTTTGTGCTTGTATTTATAGATGTATGAAGTATTGTATACAGGCTGGGTGAAACTGGACCAACAAGTACATTGTTTCTAATTCCAGAAGTACACAGACGTTTGTTTAAATCTTTTATTCATCTTTTATTTCATAATGGTTCAATCACTTTCTTTTATCTTTTGTCACAGATAATGTAAATTAACCTAGTGTTTTCTACTGGAAGAAAATACAAAGTCTAGCCTAAATTAACTTAAAAGTTTGAAGTAAAAAATCAAAAATGTTTTGCTTTAAATGTGATAATCTGTCAGCACACAGTGCACGCTAGAAATCAACCAATCCACCCAGTTTTACCCAATAAAGACTCCATGCTTGTTTATGCATGTTAAAGGTATCTGTTTTTCATCTTTTTCATGCAATATTTTTTTTTATTTTTCATCAGTAATGGGGAGCATAGACAAATGGCCAGACATTCACTTGACCTTGCATTGTATACATAACAGGAAACCACCATAGTCTAGTTAGTACACAAGTCTTCTACATAAGACCAAGTAACTAATAATACAATGAGGCAGACATTTCCCATGTCTAAACATTTTGTTGTAGGTGTAAACAGAATGAAAAGGAGTAATAGGTTGGAAAAGAGAAGGGGGAATGGCTGGGTGGGGTTTAGTGCTGAGAAGTCTGAAGAAGCTCAGCAGGTTGAGCTGCTTGGTATTATAGGTCCATCAGATGATTGCAAAAAATCTACTGGTAATAAGCGTGAAACCCACAAATCCCAAATGTCTTTTAAATTGGTGCATCCTGGCTTTAAGACCCATGAAACCTCCAAAGTTCCATGTAAAAGAAAAGGGAAGTGCTTCTAAGGCCTCATGCAATAAAAAATGGTATATCAAATGCACTGCCAGGAAGGATAAATGGATCCCTTATAAACCAACTGTGTAAGCCACATACGCCGACAGGTCTTCCCACACCCAATAAATAAGTGAAAAAATATATAAAGAACCTATATATGAAGTGCAGCGCTAAACACAAATACCTAAAAATAAATGATAAATAAGCATAAATAAACACCCGGCTGAGCCCTACAAACAAACCAGAGCAATAATAGATAAATCAGTGAACCATAAAGTAACCTAACAAATAGGCCAATAATATACATCAAAAAATGTATGAAAAATAAAATATATAAATAGTAAATGCACGGCTGCCATCTTAGGTGAAAAATAAAATTAATGATAAAAAACATATGTGGCCATAGTGATGAAATACAGAACCAAATATTGTATCAAA